ATGCGTATACAATACACTAAAATCAATATCAAGATTTATCCATAAGATTTATCCAAATAATCTATTATACCAATACTTTTTTTTGGATTATGTGTATATTCTATTTGTGGAAATGTTTGCTCGAAAAAAAAAAAAAAATTGCTGCACGAGATCCCTGTAGCCGTCAGTTGTTTTGAAAGCTGCGATGGGGATAACGAATTCAATAACAGGAATTCGAAAATCAGTTCGTTCTAATGAATTGAAATATGCCAGAACATTCGTAATAAAAGAGACACGCAGAAAGATCAAAGATCTCAGAATCATGTTTGCATATTACTTTTTCCAGATTAATCCTGGAATTGGCACCTTACTTATATGAACTCCCTACGATATATGATAGACGAAGGTTGGAGACAATAGAAATGTTACAGCTAAATGAAATTAAGAATTCTTAAACTTTCGTTTAATGCCTTACTCATGCATTTCTGCTTAAACTTTTTTTTTTTTTTTTTTTATATAGTCAATATCAATTAGAATAACAAGGAAAGGGTGGTTTCAAGATTAAACTTCAAAATAAGTTATGAAAGTCATTTTATTCGTGTGAATCTCTACAAGTTTGTTTGCATTTCTGCCTGTCTTGTAAATTTATTCCTCCTGTGCTTCCTGGTTGTTCATGTTCCCTGAAGATGTTGAGTGAGGAACGATACCTTAAAGCATCGCTTGGGATATTTTGTCAAAAGCAGTGTTGAATCTGCCAAAACCAGCACCAGCAGCGTACGGTCCAATATAAGGAGACAGTCCACCCAGACCTGCAAGCGAAGGGTAAGGGCCAAGACCTGCGTGGAATCCAGTTGAAGCAGGAAGGGGAGTGTGAGGTCCACCTGCATAAGGGAATCCAGTTAAATAATCAATGGGAGTGTGAGGCTGAAGTCCATACGGAAATTGGCCTGCAGCTCCAACATTAGGGAGGATTCCACTAAAGGCAGAAAGAGAGTCGTGATGTCCAGCAACATAAGGGAATCCTCCCAAAGCAGCAATGGAAGTGTGAGGTCCAAGAGCATAAGGTGTGTTCCTAAAGCAACACTGGAAGTGTGAGGAAGAAGAGCGGAATGGAAGCCACCCAAGCAGCAATGGGACTGGAATGTAAACCACTAATTCCAGTTAGAGAAAAATCCCGATTTGATTGTTGGAAACGAAATCTGCGCCACTTGTAGCACCTGCTCCAGAGGTAGACGATGTTTCATCCTCAGCCGCGTTCACTCCACCGACTCTGACATTTCTTAGAGCGCCGTATGGGTTGGCAAG